ACTGTAATCTCCAAGCGACCCCGGGTCCAGCCCCGTGCATACTCCCGTACTCGGTTCAATGTTTCATCAACCAAAGTGTGCAGTTGCATCAGGGTATATTCCTCATCATCTGTCGTTGATGGCGGTCGTATGAGAGTGCGGAAGGTCACCTCAGGCAGCGGACATGCCCTCACATTGATCTCAATGACAATCTTCATACCTTGGAATGGCGTCCATGAGAAGATTCTTGGCATCTCCATGCCGGAATGAGAAACAACACAGTCCAAAAAGGGAAGAGAGCATCGGCTTTCCAATCCAAAGGACTGCAAGAGTGCCGCAGTCGTCATGCGAGAGGGAAGCTCAACAGGATGGAGTTCAACTTCCGATTCAACTCTAGAGTCCCATACCGCTATCAAAGCCAGAACCTCATCAGGTCGAAGCTCTTCTCCAACTATGACATAGAGGTCGTCCTGACCACTCTGTTCATGTACTGTGGGTAGCGGTTTTACAGCTGCCATTGTCACTCTTCCTTCTTGTGAAACAGGAGGCTCAACAAAGTCTCGCAATAGTGTTTGCACCTCTTCTTTGTCAAAAGATGCTAACTCGAGCATACCATCAATCTCCAGGTTCCAAAAGGAAGTCTCATCAGCAATAACGCCACAGAGGACAATATCTGGCCACCTGCCTCTAGCAGCTCGGAAGGCCATTGCCTCGTCTCGCAAATGGTCAAATTGCAGGAATCGCGTCAATCTTGCAACCCTTCTTCTCAGCTCGTGCCATCGAAGATTCTGCTGGATCATCATCTCAAATTGGTCCCCCTCATCATTGGTTTCAGATGTAGTTGGAAGCTGCATCATCCTCTGGTGGAGGGCTGGCTGGAACAGTGTCGTCTCATCTCCTGGCAGGGGCCCAAGTCCTCTATCCAGCTCACCATTTCTGCAAGCTTGAACAGTGGAGATGCGGAGCAGCATACTCGTACCATGTAGTTCATCAACGACTTGTTCATTCAACCAATATCTCACTTCGCCATTATTCGACACTTCCAGGTAGCACAAAGTACCTCTGGTCTGGCAGGTCGACGTGATGCCCAGTTTTGTGATGATAGATTGGAGGGCGCCCTCTCTTTCCACATGGACTGCAACCCTTTTGGGCAGAGGTAAGCCAATCACATCCAGGATGAAAGCCTTTTCGCCGAGTTCCAATTGCGACATTGGCATTCCAAGCAAATCAATCGGATATGCACGCAAAGATAATGGTTCAACCACCGGAAATGGGATTGTGAAGCCCCATACATCGAAGCCAGCAAGATCTTCCAGTTCACTAAGCAAGACCTTTGTGAATGACTTGTCAGGGACCCAAGCACATCTTCTGGCGAAGTAGGCAACTGTAAAATGGGGCCTGGTCACTCCCCACACATACACAGTTGTCACAAGGTTGCTTGGCAATCCAAGCCTATCACTTGCAAAAAGCCGGACTACATCTGGTCCCGCGGAATCAGATCGACCAGCATGTACAATGCCAAAGTGAGACTGTGAGTGTGGAAAGTAGGGCTCATGAGCAACCTCGGTGATAGCAGTCTCTGCTTGCGTGAACAGGTGCATCAGAACACTATCATCTTCTTCTGGTTCTTCACAGCTTCCACAGGAAATACCCGAGAGGCCCGAAGTGCCGTCGTTTTCACCTGTCCCGCATGATGTAGAAGTTCCAAAAGAGGAAGCACCATCATCATCATTATTTCCACCCCCTGCTCGTAAGATCTGTCTTTCACGCAGAACCAGAAAGATCCCTTCATACAATGGAACATGTTCGCCCCATGTGTATAGCCTGGCAGCAGCATGATTGCCTACGGCAATTGTGCACTCCGTGGCCCATACACACTGATTGAAGGGCTCAATTTGCTGGAAAAACCACGACAGAGGTGGGAAGACAGTGGTTTGGAAGATGAAACTTCCTCTTCGGGTTTGTTGTGCATCTTGATATTCAACTAATGCCGGTACATACCGTGGATCACCAGGAGCAATCACCAGAAAATGTGGCATAACAAGCCCAAAATCATACGGTGGCGGCCTGACAGGTGTTACCATACAACTCCTCCTGCCAAGAATCCTCCCCCATGGACTGCGTACAACGGCAGCACCCGGCAATTGGAAATCAAAATGCAAATCACGAATGTTCGACTGCAGCCGTCCAAGCTGGTCCCAAGGATGGTACCAAGATCTCACCACAACCGGAGCTCTAGCTTGCGTTGTCTCACGGATGTATAGAGAGACCAAGTCCTCTGTTGGCGGTCCAACTTGCATCAGGCTGACTAGATCCTCATTGCGGTAGTCCTCACTACATGCTTCTACCAAACTTGTGCAGCCAGAAGCATCAAAATGTGAGCTGTCAAAATCCTCCGATTCAGCTCTACGGAGCAAGGGTCTTTCCGGAGCATCGCCTCGAAGAAGGGCGGAGTCTTCTGTTGCCGATTCATCACGGCAAGGTGCATCAAGGAACCCCCCACAAGACAAAGAGGAAGTCCATGATCCTTCCGGACAACAGTCACTCTGGTAGGTAGTCGTTGTCTCTTGTGATGCAAAGTGCCTAGCTCTCTGTTCTGAATAGCTATCCACAACATGTGACTGACAAACAAGTAGAAGGAGGAAGATCCCGGTCTTTCTGTAGCCAGACTTCCGAATAGAGGCAGCTCTGCATCTGCTTTTGCTGATCGTTCTGCACTTGCCAGGAAAACCAAGACATTCTTCAAAGCGATGTCGCAGAAATATCCCAACAAGGCAGAAAAGGATCCCACAATTCTGACATATATTGAGACCCCGTAGGATATGCACACCACAGAAAGGGTCATCCCGAATTTCATGGACACTCTCAAGGAGTAAGAAACAAATCATTGCACTCGTCCCCAAAACAGAGACTACACTCCACAGCATCCCAATTGGTGGCAAGAGACAAAGTCTGTCCTTTCGACATAGTCGCTCACCAAGATGCCTTCCAACTTCACCAAGACGCCGGAAAGCACGGATGATGCACAGGGACCAGGAGACGAAGAAGAGTTGCATCGAAGACCAGCGAGCCATTCCAAGGAAAAGATCAGAACTCAATCCACTCAAGCTCCAATGTTGCGTAGAAGCATATGGCTCACTGCTCTGAAACCGTTCAGTCTTCGGGTCACCCCTTGAAAAATCACTCTTTTCATCCCATCCAAAGAGAAGAGTTGAGGGAACTGAAAACTCATCCATGAGACATACCCCAAACGTCTCAAAGAAAGGTGGTGAAACAAAACTTTCAAAGTGTCGACACAGGTTGCAGCCTCCAGCCGCAATCGGCAAGCATAGAGCTCCATCGCAGGTTTCTTCGAACCCAACCACAGCACTATGACCAGCATGGTCAACAGATTCTTTTTGGATGCCCTCAATCATGCATCCAAATCGCTGAGAGCCGCCGCTGGGACAGGAACGTCCATGCCATCGGAGATGATGCCTTCTGAAGTGTCGCCCGTACCAGGAGGCCTGCCGGCAAGCAGACGACCAGGCGCCCCAAAAGGCACCAGGGCTAAGGAACGTTTCAGGCCATTTCCCTCTTCCGTCAACAGGGTCTCCCTGTAATTCTGTTCTGCCCCTTTGATCTGCTGGATGAGTTCCCGGACCTTGGTCATAGTAGGGAACTTCTCTGGCTCGTTCTGCATGTTTTTCAGGAAGTAACGCTGAGCTTCTTCTGACACACCTGTCAGGAGATGCTTGACTTCTGCATGGTTCACCGGGTCCTCTACTGGGAGGTGATCGTGCTTCGGCTTCTTGGCACCCTCCGGTGTAGATCTCGTCATCGGCGATCTTGATCGATTCATAGCCCTTTTGTGTTCTTCCATCCCAACACCTTCGAATCTTGCTAAACTTGGTCGAGGATGTGGATGCTGCGGGGATTCCTTGGGAATAAACTCCCCGCTCCGAGCATGCAGCGTATTCAACAGCATGGCCACCTGTTCGGTGAGTTGCTGATTCTGCCGCTCCATATGGGCTGCATATGATGCAAATTGGCCCATGGGCCCATTTGATCCTTCATCTCTTTGAGCTCGTCCTGAACTATGTGACGTGTCACATCGACCAGGGTTGGGTCCACCTCTGATGGCTCTCCGTCCATCTCGGTATCGTTGAGCTCTTTCTCCTCCGCTGCCTTGATCTCCGCCTGGAGCTCGGCAATCTCCTTGCTGAGCCTGCGATCTTCTTGCGCTAATCCCTCTTGCATGTTGTGCTTCCAGGACTGGTAGCTGTGCTCCTTCTTGTGCAGTGTCTCTTTGAGGTTCTCGGCCTTGTTGAGAATGCGTCTCTCTTGGTTCAGCTGACGTTGTCGCTGTCGGATCTCTTCTCGTGGATCGACCTTGACCAAAGTTCGAACTGTATCCAAGTCTGCATCCTCTGGCTTCTCTGCCTGGAGCATGCGCCTGATAGCATCTTTGAGTTTCTGATTCTCCTCTTTGATGCTGCCATCTGACTGTGAGGCAGAAGATGATCCAGATCGCTTTCCAGGCTCGGCATTTCCCTTGAGTTCGACACGCTTGCCGTCGTGGGAATACATCACGAATCCTGAAGTCTCTGGCTTTCCCTTCTGCTCCTTGTTCGGCTTCTTGTCGTTCTTCTTGTCCTGCCATTGCCTCCAGTCCTTGGCTGTCCATTTCTCTTGCCGCCATGACATCACTCCAGACAAAGCAGGAATGCGGTAGGCCGGTCGTGAGTGGTGTCGAGACAGAAGGTCCACAGCCCTCTGTATGCCAGCCAGTACCTTAGGCTTGGGTCGCACCTTATCGCGTTGGCGGTGCAAAAACCGCCGTGCAAAAGAACGATGCTTTCGCTCCCTGCGGTGCCAGCCCGGCGACGGTGGTTTTCCAATGGCTCAGGTAAAAAGAGTCGACCCGAGACGTCGAGTCTGGGGCACAAGCGATCCGGAACCTCGTCCGATATTCTTGAGCCCTGACCGCTCTCCCGAAAAAACAAACAAACACCGCGCAACCCCAAAGAGCCGCTGAGCTCCTGCATCTTCACCGGCAGATTGGGTTCCAAGGTCTTATCCAAATGTTTCACCCAGTCATTGAATTGCGCAAAGGACTCCAGAGACTTCTCGGCCGTGAAAGCAGGCACATAGTCTTGGAACCTCTTGGGTTCTTTCACGCATCTCGGAACGCAAGTCGACACAGAGGCCGAGATGGAAGCACAATTACATCTGGACACCGGTGGCACTTCTGTCAAGAAGTACTCGTCCCTCCACAGATCAAGCTTTCGAATTTTGCCATCTTCCCTGAAGCCCAGAACAAGGAGACCGAGCAGTGCTATCAGCACCACAGCAAGCAGCAAAGCAGGGGGGACGAATCCACCAGCCCCGTTTCAGAACCTCCTGCAAATTCTCGGGGGAAAGCACATTCAAGTTGGTACAATCCAGCAGCACATCGATCACCGCACTGAAGATGGAGAGGTGGAGTGTTGCACACCAAACACCTGAGATATCTGCCGATGGGCCAAAAAAAATCTCGAAGCTCTTCGGCTGTTGCCAAGCGGACACCTTCCACAGACCAGGTATCACCATCCAAGTAGGCACAGCGCCAAGCTGGATCGGCGTTGCTGGTGGCGATTCGCACATAGATGGGAGTAGTGGCACTAATCTTCCGTGGCACCAAGTTTCCTGCCAGCCAATTCTGAGAGAAATCGACTCCAAAAACCAATACAGGGGGTGCACGGAAGAGCCCCCACACTACAAGCGATCAACCTACAAGCGATGGCCTCCAACCTAATAGCGATGGCCTCCAACCTAGAAGCAATGGGGTGCAGTTGAGCCCCCACACCGCATTTTGAGGCATCTGACCAATCACCCCGTCATCAACTCAACAGGTAAAACTGCGCCAACACTGGCGCTACCTGCTGCGGCTGCCACCACCTGCCTGACCGTTCTCGGGCCCCCCCCCGATCGATCACGCGCGAGCGCCGTGCGCCGTGCTGGTGCGCCGGTCCTAGATCCACCAAAGAGATATCTACAGCATCAACCATCGAGGTGAAGGAACTTCCCCCTTCCGGATTGCTGCTGGACAAGCCACTGGAAAGGCTGCTGTTGCCTACACACAGAACGAGCCAAACATGGAAAAAAAACTTTAAAAAAGAGGTCGATTGAAACATGTTAAAAGGACCCTTTCACTCAAAACAGGCATGATCAGACGATGATTCTCCGTGAGGGGCCGAACGAGTGATTCCGTTCGGTACGGTGGCTGCATGCGGGAGGGAGTGACCACGAGACGCTGCACATCGAAGCGACCAAACGCGTCAAAATGGCGCGGCTATGATGATGTGCAAGTCAGCTGAAGTTCCCCTTGATCGAGTTATCTAGATTCTAGACTTTATAAGTCTGCATATATAGTTGGCAAGCTCTTGGGCAGTTGGCCCATTGCGGTACTTGAGGCCAGAGGGGGTGAACGAAAGCTAGCCGGGCGGGGAGGCATGCGCATGCTAGGGTGTGGCTGCGCAGACAACCAAGCAAGAGACCACCAAGCAGCAGCAGCAACGGACCACGAAGCGACTGCAGCAGCAGCAAACCACCAAGCAGCCGCAGCAAACCACAAAGGAGCAGCAGCAGCAGCAGCAACAGCAATTTGTTCTTTCACCCGCTCACCGCGCGCAGGGGGGAGTTGAACCTCCGGCGGGGGGGTCCATAAGATTGATGTACTCAAGTATTTGAGGTTCAACCTGTTGCCGAACAAAGCATCCAAATAAAGCATCCAAACAAGTCGGGGGTGGTCTGCACAGTCACTCGCAACCATGTTCTGTCGGGACTCGCACGGAAGAAATGCTGGGCCAAAATTTGTACGAAAAAGGAGTTTAATTTATATAAGACCTTTTTGGGTGCAATGTGCAGGCAGCATTTCTTGCATCATAGCCTTACCCCGCGTACACAAATACGTCCGATGTGGAGTCAGGCGGCGTCAGTTGGCTCTTGTGCAGCCGGACCGTCGACGCTCAGAGGGCGACAGAACTGCTTTAGAGCGCCTGTGGAGTCCAAGTGTTCCCACCCCAGCAGCAGGAGCAGCAGCGGCGGCAGCAGCAGCTGCGGCAGCGTCAGCAGTGCTAGCCGGAGGCAGCTGCGGCAGCGTCAGCAGTGCTAGCCGGAGGGAATGAACCAGGGGGGGAGGCGCAGCCAAGGCGGCAGCAGACCACCCAGCAGCAAAAGGAGCAAATCCACCAAACAGCAGCACCAGCAGCAACCCCAGCAGCAGCAGCAGCAGCTGCGGCATCAGCAGCAAACACAACAGCAGCAGCGGCCGCAGCAGCAGCAGGAGACGCAGCCAAGGCAGACCCAGCAGCAGCAGGAGCGAAATTGAACAGCAGTAATGTAAGAAATTGGTACGAAAAAGGAGTTAAAATTAATACCTTTTTGGGTGCAATGTACAGGCGGCATTTCTTGCATCATAGCCTTACCCCGCGTACGCGACGATGTGGAGTCAGGCGGCGTCATTTGGATCTTGTGCGCCCGGATTGTCGACGCTCAAAGGTCGACAAAACTGCTTTAGAGCGCATGTGGAGTCCAAGTGTTCCCACCCCAGCAGAAGGAGCAAATCCAGGGGGGGGAGCGCAGCCAAGGCGGCAGCAGACCACCCAGCAGCAGAAGGAGCAAATCCAGCAGCAGCAGACCACCCAGCAGGATCAGCAGCAACCCCAGCAGCAGCAGCAGCAGCTGCGGCAGCGTCAGCAGCAAACACAACAGCAGCAGCGGCCGCAGCAGCAAACCGAGTAGCAGCCACAGCAGCGGCAGCAGCCGCAGCCCACCCCGCAGCAGCAGCAGGAGACGCAGCCAAAGCAGACAGACCACCCAGCAGCAGCAGGAGCAAAATCCAGCAGCAGCAGCAGCAGCAGCAGCAGCACACCAGGAAGCAGCAGCAGCAGCAGGAGCAAACGAGCACACCAGGCATACAGCAGCAGCAGCTAATTTGTTTCCACCCGCTCACCGCGCGCAGGGGGGAGTTGAACCTCTGGAGGGGGGGGGTCCATAAGATTGATTTAATCAATTATTTGAGGTTTCTGAGGCGCGTCCACCCCGTCATTTAACTTGCTAAAGCAAGAGCAACTTCAGCTAGCTAAGGCTAGCTTTCGTGATAAGTGGATCCTTGGTCTTGGACCTCCAAATGAATGCCGCAAGGAGAAGTCCGGAGGTTGAAAAGCTGCATTTTCCGTGCACAATGTGGCCCCCTTTGAAGCAGGTGATACTATACTATAAGTGCTTTGAAACAAGTGGGTCCTGCGAAACAACAAATGGTTGCGCTTATCTTCTTTCTTTCGCTTGCGGATATCTGGAGGCCCTCTACGGCTCTACGGTAGTGGTGCAAAATCTGATTGAAAGGTCACAGTTCCTCCCCACAGCTCCACACATGTGCACAAGTCATCTCTCAGGCATCTATTCGTGGATCACCATGCTCTCTAACTGCTTTTGCTGCCAAAGCTCCATTGAAGGCGGTCATCACCAAAGCAGCCCCATCTGAGATGGCCAGCACCTGGCCACGCATCGAAGACAACACCCAGGGATCCCTCGATCTCAGAGGATCTGACCAGTCTGACCTCATCGTTCGACGACTCATGCAGCTGCCCTTCTGAGGACTCAGAGTCTTCGGCCAGAGACAACCAGACCTCGAGGTTTCGAAACTCCCAAACCCAAGAAATCGGAGTGATGTGCGAGTCACTTAGCGAGTCACTTAGCCTGTAGAACTGATCCTTCTCACTCTCCGGAAGGCACCTCCAATGGGAGGACAGCTGCAGCAGGGCTGCCCTCTGCAATGGAGACAAATGGAGTCGTGGTGGAGTTCAAACCTGGCAACCTCGACTTTTCCAGCAGCTTCGGGAGTCGACTGCTGCACCCTCCCAGCATCTCCCAGTCCCACACGCAACTGCCCGGCTCTTGTTAGGGTAAAATATGGTAAAATCATGAAAAATCGTTGTCCAAACTCATCAACATTGCTTTTCTAAACTTTGAGGTTCCAAGGCCCTGTGATTTTGCTGGAAATGAATCTGAACCGATCACCCCTCAAACGATTACAGTATGTTACAGTAATTTGGGAGCTTGGGGGAACATTTGGGAGCTTGGGGGCCAAGAGTGGCCCCACCATGGCCTATTTGTTTGGCAAGCGATCTGAGAAGAGCGCTTGCTGGGAATCCGGGTGCAAATGGGGCATATCAGGGCTAGTTTCCTCCACCCCACTGAGGTTTCATCTCCCAAGTGAAAAGCTGGCTCATCTCGCCAGCGGACTCTGAGCCCAGTGTTGCGACATTCACCCAACCATTTCCGTCCCAAAGATGAACCTTCGGATGCTGAGACCTTCATAGCAAATGGGTGAGGCCACGATGGCACATGAAAGGCACAACATCGAGACCATTCCTCCACGTGGGAAAAGAGCTCAAGTGGCATTGTTGCAGTGCAAGGCACGGATCATGTGACACGGCACACGATCCATGCACGGATGACTGGATGACCGAACACCCCCCCACCAGCTTAGAGATCCGGCTGAGGAGGCCACTTCACTGCGGTCATCGTGCCAAAGGCTTCCGCCACCACCGCACTCCCATTCTCCGCCGAAAGCAATTCACCTCGACAACGAGAGCAGTGTCGTTGTGAGAAAAGGGAAGGTTTTATCATATAGAACGGGGGACACTGGGGAGTGGGGAAGAAGCATTTTCTGGGGAAGGGGTCCTTCCTTTGCAGTCTCCTTTCATGGCCGTTCGCTTTCATGGCTCTTGGCTCTGGTTTCAGCATGGGTGGCCTGCTTGTCTACTGAGCCTACTTCGGAGACGCAGGGCGCGCCTACCTTCTGGACCTTTCGCCGGGGAGCGAATACTATGATTGGCCACTTCGAGTCTTTCATGCAAATTCTGTTTCAGGCCCTTGCGATCTTCAGATCCTGCAGCACCAGTTGGACTTCTTAAGGTCTTGCGACTCGTCCTCCTCATCGGATGAGGAGGTCGAGTCGTAGACACACTTCACTACGTCGCAACTGGGCAGATCCGGATGCCGCGCGGCTTGGCTGTCTTTTGTTCTAAACGGGGGGAACTGGAACACGGAGTGGGGCAGATTCCTGGGACGATGTGAAGGATGACCTAACCGCTGGGATAGCTTTGTAAGCAGAAATACAGTGCCGGAATCATTAAAAGCTGGAAACCAGGCAAAGGTCACTATATAAAGAGCTCGAAAACCGCACAGTAGTTCCGAGGTCCCAGACTAGTCACACGCTCGTTTCATCGTGTTACACAAACGCAGGGTCCACCCCAGTTAAGCCACATGATTTTCACAGCATATCAATGCACATCCTCTATTAAAGGTCATGGAAGACCTGCAC